TTAAGGTTTTAGGGCTTAGGGCTTTAGGCTTCGGGTTTTAGGGTTTAGCATCGATGCGAAGCCCTGCAACAGCAGCGGATGCCCCGGGGTGAAAAGCGCAAACCACCGTTTGACGTCAAGTCTCTTCTAGTCTCGTGATGCTGAGGTAGTTAAATATACTATAGTAGTGTCCAGTTTATTTACCATTACCCCAGTGTAACCCCGATATATTATAATAGTTTCCATTTTATTTTCAACTATCCCAATATAACCCCAATATACTATCTGAAGCTTGGCAAGGAAGTGTCCTGAAAGCCAATAGCCACCAATGAAGGTTTGGTCTGAAGGCAGAGATCCGCCAACCACTTGAATTCGCCTGCAGGTAGTATACTGGGGCTATATTTGGATAATGGAATTTAAAACTGAAACTACTACAGTATGTTGGGCTTCTATTCGTACATGATTGCAGTGGCAGCACTGCAACTAAGTGGGTCAGGCACACAAACAGTCCAGCTTGCTGCTCCGTCCATGGTGGCTGGGCCTCTTCAACAGAGGGAAACCCTAAACCCTCAACCCTAAACCCTGAAATCCTAAACCCTAAACCGTCTGCATCATGCTGGAGCATTCTGTAATGAAGCTCGCCTCATGTGCTCCTGTCAAGCTTACACCCCATGCATGGACTGCCTGTGCGAGTCCTCCTGGGCGCACTTAGCTATATGATCCCTTAGGGGTTTGGGGGGTTAGGATTTAGGGGTTTAGGGTTTAGGTTTAGGGGTTTACGGGTTTAGGGGTAATGGAAAAGAAAATGGAAGCTACTATGGGTTTAGGGTGGACACCCCACCCTGTAATGGTGACTAAAAGGGATAATAGAAACTATATTAGGGTCCTCTTATATTCCTATTATACCACTATTACAGGGTGGGGGGTCCTCCTAAATGATCCCTATCTAATTCCTATCTGATCCCTATATAACCCCTATATCACCCCAATACAATCCCAATATAACCCCTATGTATCTGTCCGGATGGTTTGATAATGCTTCCTGGCCTGAATCTGGCAAAGCTGAGGTGGACTTCTTGCAGCCCAAGTTCCTGGTACTTTGCAACTTCGCTGAACAGTTTGCATGGGATGTGTGTACTCAGACTCCCTAATGGATCCAAAAAATGGAACCGCTCTAGAAATTCACTAGTTTCCCCAATGTAGTAATGTAGTAATTGGTTCATATTGGGGAGGGGGGTCCATTTTTTGGAATCCTTTAGGGGGGCTGGGTGAGGGTGTCTGTCTCAACCCCATTCCTTTCCCTGATTCTTGGCCAGGCGCCATGTACAGAGGACAGCTGTGACAAGAGCCATGGCTCATTTGCGCCCTTTTAGGGGTTTAGGGGTTTAGGGCGCCCTGCATCTGTCAAAAGAATCTAGGAGAGATTCATATGTGCTGCACCCTAAACCCTCAAGCCCCAAACTGCTTGTTTAAATCATGTTGAAGCATTCTTACTGACCCAGCGTGCCTTTGCGACTATCGCCTGCAGGAATTGCCAAGTAACTTTATCAAAGGCCTTGTCCGATCATATGGAAAATATCAGCTTCCGGTGCTGAAACTTACTGACCAGAAGCTTCAAGTGTTACAATCACTCTTACATCATGCGCACCTTGAATGGTTTTTAGCCAATTGATGGCACTTATCAGAGCTTGTTTTGCAGCTTGCAGAAATGTGTGACATCTATGCTTCTTGGCATCACTGCACTGCTTGCCCGGCTCCCAACGCAAAGCTGAAACTATCCATCAAAGCCAGGAAAATGTTGAGGGTTGCTTCACGCGCCCCTGCGGACCATGGTAAGAAGTGTTCCATTCTGTCATCGAGAAGCACCGCTTGCCGCACAGGATGGCAAGCTTCCTGCACAATACATCTCAGAGTATCTCCTTGACTTCGCAAGTGATCCCTCTTGCCCACAAATATCCAAAGCTCAGGGGAAGTCACACAGGAGGTCTGCCGGCACCTACGTGGCGCACTTTTCATGGAAGCCAGATCCTGATCCCGAGAGCAGGGCGGGCATTGATTCACGCCCTTTGTCTGGCTGCTGTGGCCGTGCATAGAGGAGCTGCTGCTGAGCTCAGCCGCGCCTACAGAAGTTCTCCTGTAGTCTAGGGTTTAGGGTTTAGGGGTAACGGAATCTATCCGCTTACATTCGGTGCCCCGACATTTAAAAAAGAACATGCAATAGCATCATTGGCACAGACAGCTCTTGGGAAGAGGGGCTGCGCCCAACAAAACACAAGTAATGAGCACGGGCTCTCAAAGAAATTGAGCAAGTGCAACCATTTATGCGTTTTTCTTCATATTATATATGTATATCTCCAAGATATAACCCATTATAGTATGGTAGTTTCCATGTTCTTTTTCCACTATCCCTGTATATTATAGGAGGGCAGTAGGGTCCTCCCATATTCCCTATTGCAATCCAATGTCCTGGCATAGAGTCGGTCTTGCAGCAGTTTTCAGTCAGAATGCCCGGGGCTAGGGCCGCTGAGTTCTGAATCTTACGGAAGGCATTCGCAGGTTTCCCAAAATTAGGGGTACCATTTTGGGGTCCCCATAATAAGGACTATAGCATATTGGGGTACGCAAGTTCCGGCCTGACCCTGAATCCTGTTTTTTCACCTGGAACGTTCATCCTTGTGAACTGTTTAATTACACCCTAAACACAAACCCTAAAAAGTAGTTTCCATGTTCTTTTCCATTGTCCCTATATAGCCCCTATAAATGCCCTAATAACCTAATATACCATATTACTTTCCATTTTCTTTTCCATGTAGAACTTAGAATAAGGGCCGCAGGAACTTTGGCTCAAGTGACAGAAGTCTAGAGTCTAAAGGGGCCTGTTGAGTAGTGTGTTTTGGTGGTTGAACCTAGTAAGATTATATTCCTTATATAAAATACTATACCCCAAAAGGAGGACATAATCTGACTCTATATTGGGTACCAGAATACCCCCAAATAAGATACTACCCTGTTGTTCAGTGTGTTACTTTGGTCTTTGGCCCGGCTTTGCTTTGATTCAGACTTAGTTATTATAATAGGGTATTGATTGGGGTTATATCATAATAGGAATATAATGGGCTCATATTATAATCGGGTATATAACGGTATATACAGACAACATCGTGCTGCCTTAAAGTGGGAAATATGACTTGCCATCATGCAGGGCCGTGGCAGTCACTTGCACGAGATGTTCCGAGAACGTAGGCTCTGCTCACTTTGGAGCCTTGGAATGCACACAAGAGTGTTTTGAAAGCAGAGCGCCGCAGGCAGACCGCCAGCAAGGCGACCGCACTAAAACAAAGGTTGTCGAAGGATTGACTTGACCGTCCGCCTCAAACTCAGGAGCCGCCAAGTGGAAAGCCCTCTTCTCGCAGCATTTTAGAATGCTTCTCAACGCAATTCTGAGTTAAGCCTACACTGGCAAGTTGACAAGCGTCAAAAGCAAATTGACAGCTGGCAGGTCCTGTGCGTTTATTGAGCTTACATGGGCAGTGCTGAGTCTGTCTTCACTCCAGCATAAACAAAGTACTTAACACCATCGCGCTGAGATCACTGGAGATTGAAAAGATACCGGAAACCAGCATGTCACATGTCCCGTAAATACCGCCATGCCTCTGTTTCTCTCTTCTTTTCAGGCATGTTATTGGTCGTTGCTTTTTTGCCTCCTACACCTGTCGCGGCAGTTCCTTCCGCCTAGACTTCTTACGTTCGTCTGGTACGTACCATTAGGCTGGATGAGGTGACAGCATAATCATGCACTCGTGCACGTGGAGAACATTGAAAAACCCTGCTGAACCCTGTTGTCCGTCCTATTCTCAAACTTCAAAGCGAGTTAGTGAACTCCTGGCAAATGTGGGCCGTGGACTTCTGATTGCAATTATCACAAATGGTCTTGCTGATCCTTCAAGGATACTGGATTTGTTCGCCTGAACTAGAACCCATCTCAGCAAGTCCTGACTCGCATCTCGAGTGCTGCGCAATTTTAAGCCCCTAGCTTCTGGCTGCAAGCCCAAACAACAGGGTTATCATCAAGCTTGAAACTTACAAGGCAAGTCTTGGCGGCCACTGAGTCGCAGGAGCCTCAGGGCATCAACGGCTTCTGACAGCTTCTGCTGCCGAGCCAGGAAGTGATCGCGTTTGCGATCTCCATTGCCGAAGTCCCTGCCTTCAGGCAAAGCAAAAAGAGGGTGACCTGTCGCCAAGCGCGGCAGACTCAGACGTTCTTCAAACACTCCGGCCACAGATAAAGAAAAAATCAACCTTGTGCTCTCGAGCTTTCAACTTTTGAATGCAGAGTCTGCTGCGCAACCCGTCTGGCTGAGCCCAAACATCACTTCACGTTACTTGCAGATCCAGATCCTTAGCTTCGCTGCAATGCAAACTGCGAGTCACATGAATCAACCCAAAAAAAACAGCTTGAAGAACCGCGGCGGCGGCAGAGCCCTTAGAGCCTTGCTGCGGGACCTCTTAGCAGCTGGCTCTTCCGAAATTGGTGCTATGCTCCATGCGAGGCACGCTCCACAGACTTCGGCTTCTTCGATGCCTTACTTGCATCTAGCTCAGGGCATCAAGACGTGTAGTCCCTCTTAAGTAGATAGAATATCTCTTTGGGTATATTACAAGAAGACCCCATATACCCCACATTCTTTCTACTTAAGGGGGGGCTATAATAGGAGCATGCAGGATTGGAGAGAGCTTTGCCAACCAGCAGTTGAGGCCCCCAGCCGTGACGGTCCTTCGTCCTCGTCCTCGGTTGGTGTTGCCGAGGTCCTGGCAAAGCACGCAGGGAAACACCCATGTATTGTGGCTACTTAAGGGTTATATAGGGAACATAGAAAAGAAAATGAAAAACTACTATATAGTACATTGGGATTACATAAGGATAATGGAAAGGACAATGGAAACTACGGTACAGCATATTGGGGTTATATAGGGATAATGGAAAAGAACATGGAAACTACTATATTCTAGTATATTACGTTCTCTCATGAAATAGTCTTGGCTCAGCTCGCGGAGCTTTGGGGGCTGCAAGGATTTGCAAAGGTAATGTAGACCCATGATTGATAAACCTCCATTCCTTTTCAGGGCCTTAATATGAGGATCCCCATTATAATCCCCATGAAGGGGAGGGGGTTCATTCATCAGGGGTCTGGGACAAGCGTGTCGAGTCGCGGCATAGCTCTGGTGCCCGCGACGGCGATGCAGCTTGGATCGTTGTAGCCTGATGCCAAGACATTCACGTACTATACTGTAATATGGTAGTTTCCAGCTTAATTTCCACTATCCTTTTTTTAACATCAATATACTATATAGTAGTTTCCATTGAATACGTATATTCCCACCAAGCTTTGGTCGTTCATACAGGTACTTTAATGTAAGGCACATCACAACAGGGGCACGCTAGGTAGCAAGGCTAGCCGCATGAAACGTCAGGTTGCCTGCATGCATGCTTGTGGCTGGTGGTTCTGGCTCAGAACAAGGTTGCGATGGAATACAATGTGCTGTGTCGCCCAGGCATGTACCCGCAAGTATCGCGCAACAATGGATTTGCCGATGGATTTGCCGCACGCGCAAGCACAAATCACAAATCATGCACCAAGTAGATGGTTCGCGGCGATCAGGGCGACCGAGACTCGTTCTTAACACTGCTAGGCCCACTGCATGCCCACTTCACACATCAGCCAACACCACAATGCTTGAACAGCAGGTCTAATATGCGGGTCTATACTGCTTTGAGTACTTGGGCCCCCAGGGCCACAGCCGCATTGACACACCTTTTGCTGCCTGTTACGCTTTAGCACAGGACCCCAGTAGCCAGAGCTTCTTAGTTGCAATACACTTCCCGGACAAAAAGGAGATAGTTATGGAACGGTTGTGTCAAACGGCCTGTCTGATAGCTGTACGCTGCATGCCATCATGGGATTTGCTAGGATCTGCCAAGTGCGACGTCCCCGGGTCTGCTGCCCTTGGAGCTCGATGTCGAAGACCAGGACCACTTCTCTCCCTGCGCAGTTATCCGCCGACCCCGCTCTGCGG